GGGGGGGGGGGGGGGGGGGGGCCGAGGAGCACAGACAAGAACAAGTTAAAGTCCATAGTGCTCCAGAGCATCTCTGAACCTGGCCAGACGCAGCCACATTCCTCTGCTCCTTTCCAGTGTTAAGAAGTCAACTGGCCTCTCTGCAGACACCCACAGGGTTTCTCCTGCTGTAAGCTTAAATCTGATACTCTTACAGCTTCCACAAGGTGTATGCAAGATACAAAACCCAGAGACACATTTCCCTTCCAGTACCACCATTTTTATGGAAATTTTATGATTGTAAATATTTCTTCATGTATACTTTTGTGTCTGTGTGTGTCTGTATGTTTCATCCAAATTAACATTTCCTCCTGAGCATCAGGAAGTTCATCTCTGATTGCTAAATAGCCTGGCAGACCAAATTATATAAATACATGTACCTATATATACAGATATAGTCCCACATACCTTTTTTGTATATATGTAAAATGGGATTCCTCCCCTAATTTCTCATGCATAGCATGATATTTGTTTAAAAATTCCTATACATATCCCAGTTTCAATGGCAAGGCTGCTATCATCTTAAAACAATGACTTGAAGTGTTCCTGTGCTCACCTCCTTGAGTCTTTGCACTTTTATCTTTTTTGGCTGCACATTTGGCCTTGCACATTAAACATAAAGCATGGAAGACAGGCGGCACCTTACAGATTCTTGGTTCACAAATGGGTTCTAATCACACTGTTAAGAGTAATAATATTTCTTTAGCCAATTTATTCTTCATGCCTTTGAAAGTGAGGTCTTGCTTTTTAAAAAGGAAAGAATCATTAGGTCAAAAGAAAGAAAAGAATGTGTCAGAATGATTATTTTGCAAACCAAAAAAAGTTATATTCTCAGAAGGAAGATTTATTGTCATATAACAGACTGAGAGTGTTACATGCTGCCTAAAATGAAAACCAAGTAGATTAATTTCCAGGAGAAAAAAAAAAAAACAAAACAAAAAAAAAAAAAAACACGCACCAACTTTGGTTTCAACAATTTTGTCCAAGGTTCAATTCTGTGAAATTGCTGGGCCCTTGTGATTCAGCTGAAGACTATGCTAACCATGAACATTCTGAGCATCTCTGAATATCAAGTCCATAAGGAGATCAGATCTATAACAGATTAAGAATATTAATGTAACATGTTATATTCCTTCTTTAAAAAAGGGCTGACTTTGTCTTGTTTAGGCACCTGCTTGAAAGGATCCCTTGAGAGATGATCCTGAAGGGTATAGAGGCCCAGGAAGGCTGGGCGCTCTTTAAGAAGGAAGTGTTAATATCACAGGAGCAGGCAGTCCCCAGGTTCTCTAAGAGAAGCTGACGCCAGAGAAGACCACCCTGGCTAAACAGGGAGCTTTGGCTGAAACTCAGTGTGAAAAAGAGAGTTTACAGCCTTTGGAAGAAGGGGCTAGTGACTCACAATGATTACTAAGAGATGCTGTGAGGCTATGCAGGGTGGAAATCAGGAGGTCTAAAGCCCAGCTGGAAAATAATCTGGCTTCAGCAATCAAGAACAACACGAAATGTTTCTATAAGTATGTCAGTAGCAAAAGAAAGACCAGGGAGAGTCTCCATACCCTACTAGATGCAGGAGGAAACATGGTAACAAGTGATGAGAAGGATGAGGTCCTTAATGCCTTCTTTGCCTCAGTCTTTAATAACAAGACTAGCTGTACTGAGGGAATCCAGCCTCCTCAGCCAGAAGACCATTCCAGGAGACAGTCAGTGACCTGCTGCATCACACAGACACACTCAAGTCCATGAGGCCGGATGGGATACACCCAAGGGTGCTGAAGGAGCTGGCTGGGGTGCTCGCCAAGCCACTTTCCATCATTTACCAGCAGTCCTGGCTGACCGGGGAGGTCCTGAAAGGTTGGAAATTGGCCAATGTGACACCCATATATAAGAAGGGTCAGAAGGATGATCTGGGAAATTACAGGCCTGTCAGCTTGACTTCAGTGCCTGGGAAGCTGATGGAGCAGCTCATCCTGAGTGCCATCACACAACACATGCAGGACAACCAGATGCTCAGGCCCAGTCAGCATGGGTTTATAAAAGGCAGGTCCTGCTTGACAAACCTCATCTCCATCTATGACAGGGAGACCTGCTTATTGGATGAGGGAAAGGCTGTGGATGTTGTTTACCTTGACTTTAGTAAGGCCTTTGGCACCATTTCCTACAGCATTCTCCTGGCATAACTGGCTGCTCATGGCTTGGATGGGCACACGCTTTGCTGGGTAAAAAACTGTCTGGATGGCCAGGCCCAAAGAGTTGTGGTGAACGGAGTTAAATCCAGTTGGCGGCCAGTCATGAGTGGTGTCCCCTAGGGCTTGGTTTTGGGGCCACTCCTGTTTAACATCTTCATTGATGATCTAGACGAGGGGATCGAGTGCACTCTCAGTCAGTTTGCAGATGACACCAGGTTGGGCGGGAGTGTTGATCTGCTCGAGGGCAGGGAGGCTCTGCAGAGAGACCTGGACAGGCTGGAGCCATGGGCTGAGCCCAACTGGAGGAGTTTCCATAAGGCCAAATGCCGGGGGCTGCCCTTGGGCTGCAACAACCCCCAGCAGCGCTACAGGCTTGGGGAGGAGTGGCTGGAGAGCTGCCAGTCAGAGAGGGACCTGGGGATGCTGATTGACAGCCGGCTGAACAGGAGCCAGCAGTGTGCCCAGGTGGCCAAGAAGGCCAATGGCATCCTGGCTTGTGTCAGCAATAGCGTGGCCAGCAGGGACAGGGAAGGGATCTGACCCCTGGACTCGGCACTGGTGAGGCTGCCCCTCGATTCCTGTGTTCAGTTTTGGGCCCCTCACTACAAAAAGGACATGGAATGACTCGAGCGTGTCCAGAGAAGGGCAACGGAGCTGGTGCAGGGTCTGGAGCACAGGTCGTACGGGGAGTGGCTGAGGGAACTGGGGGTGTTTAGACTGGAGAAGAGGAGGCTGAGGGGAGACCTCATCGCCCTCTACAGCTACCTGAAAGGAGGGTGCAGAGAGCTGGGGATGAGTCTCTTTAGCCTAGTAATAAACAATAGGACAAGAGGGAATGGCCTCAAGTTGCACTAGGGAAAGTATAGACTGGATATTAGGAATCATTTCTTTCCAGAAGGGGTTGTTAGGTGTTGGAATGGGCTGTCCACGGCAGTGGTGGAGTCCCCATCCCTGGAGGTGTTTAAGAGTCGGGTTGACATAGCTCTGAGGGATCTGGTGTAGTTGGGAACTGTCAGTGTTAGGTTAATGGTTGGACTGGACGATCTTCAAGGTCTTTTCCAACCTAGATGATTCTGTGATTCTATGAAAAAAACAGTCTTACAGAGCCTGTTTGGCAAGCCAAAACATAAGCTTTATTTGTTGTCTCAGCTGATGCTCCCTCTTGGATCACAAAGAATTTATGCAAGCAAATATTGTAGAAGATTCTTACATTTCCTATTTATCCCATTTTCACTCACTGAAAAAAGTAGTTTGGATTTGAACTGCCTGAAAATAATGCAATGTATAATTCACTGTAAATTTGTGGACAACCCAGGGAAACAAATGGCTGTCAACATCACTTGAACTGTCTTGAAGGAAAGTGGGTTACTGCTATCATTTAAGCTATTTGATACATTTGGTGACCTACTTCATATGGAATTCAAGTGCTTTTACCTTGCCAAATTTTACTCCCTACTTGGTCAGTGACCAGTTACTACTGCTTCTCTGGGCCAATGCAAGTGCTTGCCAACAAAGTGAAGTCTGCAACGTCCTTTGAACCAGAGAGATAAGGGAATTATTACTCTTGAGCAAGCTTTGATGAAGAAGACAATATTATAATTTTGCTATGATTACACCACCTGGATTATTGCTGTTTTATTGGAAATAAAATTTGTAGTTAGTTTATACACAGCTACTCCTGAAGTCATCGGTATAACATACCCAAAATCTTTCTAATTATAAGGGTTATTGTACCCTATTTACATAAGGACATACTGATGTGAATATTTTCCTATTCCTTTTATAATACTTTCTAACATTTGTATTACTTCATTTGATACAGAATTTTCATGTCTTTCTCCTTAACAGAGATCTTGTACTGAATTAGCTTCCTACCATGTTTAGCTCTGAAATTAAGGAAAGCTGATCACTCACTGCTATCTTGAATGCAGATGCTCGCAGTTTGTTCCCCTTTGATTCGAGCAGAATCTCTTTTCTAGCTTCTGCTTAGTCTGCAAGTAGCCCCATTCCTAGTGAAGCAGAAATCTCCTCCAGATATCACCCTCCTAGCATTACAATTCTGCCTTTCTACTTCTCTTTCCAGTCCTGCACAGGGTACATTGAATGTTTCAGAGAAAGTTCCCACCAAAGTTCAGGTCTCCAGATTTTTTTCAGAGCAAAAAGGTTTTTCCCTCCAGAATTTCCTACCTTTTCTTTATGTGGTTGATGCTCACCTGAATACTGCCAGTGTAGCCCACCAGCTCTTCAGTTTACCAGCTTTGCACTAAGTAGGCAAATTGTATGTTTGTCTGTATGTCTGAATGTCTGAACCCCTTTACATTTGTTTGCTGAATGAGAGCTGAATCCTCCCTCTCTTCCTGCTGGACATCCTAATTCCAGAAGGGCACTCGCATTAAGAGAGGGAACACATATATATATAATCCATATAAGAGAAACCTGTTATTGTAGCCATGTTTCCTTCACTTGCTGGTATGACATTCTTGGATATCTCCTCTGTCAGCCTAGCTCTCAGCAGAAGTAAATTGCTTTTTTGA